TAAATTGGGTGGCTTCTCTGGGTTAGACTCTAAGATGTGGAGGGTACAGTCCTGTGGGTGCAAAACACAAACAGTACCTGGTAATGGCTCATGTGATGGGGTGAGTACAGAGTGCCCTGCACACTGTGTTCTAGTGCAAGGGAGGAACTCAAAATTTAAGTCAGGTGGGTGAAGACTGTGGGATTTAACATTATTCTAAGGTGATAATTTTCTTTTTCTTTTTTTTTAAAGCATTTTACTTTATTTTATTTTTGGTATTGGGGACCAGACTCATGACCTTGTGCTTGTCAGGCAGGTGCTTATACCAATGAGCCATATCCCTGGCCCCTAAGTTAGTAATTTTCAAAGTGTGGTCCATAGAATAGTAGCATCAATATCATCAAAGAACATATCAGGGGGCTGGGGATTTAGCTCAGCGGCATAAACGCCTGCCTTGCAAGCAGGTAGTCGTGAGTTCGATCCCTGGTACCGATAAAAACGAAAAAGACCAAAAAAAAAAAAAAAAAAAAAAAAAAAAGAACATATCAGAAATGCCATAGCCCTACTTAATCAAAAGCTCTGGTGATAGAGCTCAGCTCAGTCATCCAGGTGGTTCTGGTGCACATTAAAGTTTATGAACCACTGCTCTAAACAGCCAGTCTGAAACAAATCATACAGTAGACAGTGTTGCCATAAAAGGCAGACAGGTGAATGACAGGGTAAGGGAATGGAGTGGCGGGTTGTGACAATGAAAGATGAGGTTGGAAGGGAAGCATGTTTCAGTTAGAGTCCATCAATCATGTTAAAGACTTTAAACTGCATTCAACAGATATTCCTATTTCATACGTACAATATACAAAACAACCCTTGCTCTCATGGAACTGGCTTAAGCAAAGATATATGTAAGATGGTAAAAAAAAAATGCTGTGATGCAACAAGCTGATGACAGCAAAAGAAAATTACACTGAATGAAAAGGGGCAATGCCAAGAGGTTAACTCTGTGTGATTCCACTCCATAACGTTCTCGAAGTCACAGAACTAGAAGCGGTTGCTGAGGTTAGGGAGAGGTTGGGAGTTGGAGAAACATGAGTGTGGTAATAATGGACAGTGCTCTGGAATCTTGGGTGTCTCTGAGTGCTTGAGTGTTCAAACCCCAGCTTGGTGTGATTGGGAAGAGGCGGGCTTGGTGCGAGGCCTGCTGACATTGTGTGAAGCTTGTCTTCCAGCTGATGCGTCTCATCTAGTGCTGCCTCACCACAGGCACAAAAGCACTGCTCAAGCACTCATGAGGCTGAGGCAGGAGGATCACTTGAGCCCACCTAGGAGTTTAGACTAGGCAAAATAGTGTGACCCTGGCTCAGAAGGAGAAGGAAGAGGTAGAGGGAGAAGAGAGGAAAGAGAAGAAGAAGTAAGTCCATCATCCATTCCCAGAACTATGCTAGACCCATCAGGGGGCTAATCAGTGTTAGTATTATACAGCCATGACCCAGTCACTCCCCAAAGCCCACCAGTCATGAGGTTTTGGGAGGGTGTCTAAATATAAGCACATGAGGAAAGAGGAGCAGGAGGAGGAGGGGAGAGAGAGACACCGTAGGAGAAAGAAGAGCAAGATGACCAGCCAATCATGGGCCGAGAATCTTCAAAACTCAACCCTTTCTCTTCATGAGTGTGAAGATTCCTATGGTGGTGGAACTGTGGGAGTTTCTGTGTCTCCACTGTGTGGATGTTAAACTCTAGCTATGACATTTCATTATAGTTCTGTAAAATGTAACTACTGGAAGAAACTGCATAAAGGGTATACAGGGTATCTGTATGTCTTGCAGCTTCATATGAATCGACAATTATTTCAAAATACAGAATTTTATAATAAAGATCTGAAGAATAATCAACATAAGGAAACAGAAAACCATAAGGGGGTATCTTCTACAAACCTCTTTGGGTCTGATTAATTTGTTAGGATGGCTCACAGCAAAGCACATCTGCTGGTTTGTTGTATTAATAAAAAGTAATAGGGGCTGGGGATTTAGCTCAGTGGCATAAGCACCTGTCTTGCAAGCAGGCAGTCGTGAGTTCGATCCCTGGTACCGACTAAAAAAAAAAAGTAATAAAGGACATAGATGAACAGTTAGATAAAAGCATGGGGAAAGAGGGCCTCCATTCCCCCTCCAGCCTGCCGCACAGGTTCGCTGTGTGTTCTCCCAGCACTGTCCTTTTGCGTTTGTGTGGAGATGCGTTGTGTAGGCAGGACTGCTTCTAGGACTGGCCCTGGGGGATCAATTTGACCTTTCCCCCTTCCTTCCCCGAGGTCAGAGAGGAAATAGAAGTTTCAACCCTCCTATCACATGCTTCTCCTGGAGGCCAGGCCCCGTTCTGAGACTGGCCAGGAGCCTGCCAGGGGTCATTTTCCTGGAAGAAAAAAAATGCTCCTATTGCCCAAGAAATTTCAGCAAATTTAGCACCTCCGTCAGGAAGTTAAGAAGGCCTGAAGAGCTCTGGGTTAGCAACCAGCCAAAGACCAAATACTAGAACAAAAGATCTAGTGTCCCCGGCTCCACAGATTTCAGGAGCACTAAGCCAGAAATCAGGGACAGAGATAAACCCATTAGTCACATTATTTTACAGGCATTTATACCATGACGAAGCCATCTAAAAGGTTTCTAGAGTGACCGTAGGCACTGAGCTAGGCTTATAGGTCACGAACAGGACACAGAGCAACCCCAGTCCCCAAGGTGCAGCATGGGTGCACAATGCAAGTTTTGGGGACTAAGGAACTCTGGCCCTGAGGCAGTCACCGCCTTTTTTTTTTTTTTTTTTTCCAGACAGGGTCTTACTGTGTAACCCAGGCTGGCCTTGAAGTCACTGCAGTCCTCCTGTCTCAGCCTCCCAAGTGCTGGAATTACAGGTGTGTGCCACCATGCTGGCAAGTCACTGTCACTATATACCTCAGTTCCTTTTCTGTAACACCTGTCTGTGTCTCTCAGAGGATGTGATAGTGATCCAATGAGAACACTGACCAACAGCGTGTAAACGTAAAATGGTTGTTTTCAAAACAAACGGGTTATTGTTAAGTGTTCAGCGTGGAGTTCTGCTGAGCTGTCTAATTTAAGATAATGCTGATATAAAGTAATCCTTGAAGGTATTATATCTGTATACAAAATGATGAAAAATTGTCAGACATGTGTTTGAGTTCATTATAAAGCAATAGCAAAAGGTACATCAGATCTGAATTGTTTAAAGCAGAGACACTTAGCCAGGCATGATAGTGCATGACTGTAATCCCAGCACTTGGGACACTGAGGCAGGAGGATCACAAAGGGTCTAAAGCTGTCATTTGCTATGTGGTGGGTTCAAGGACAGCCTGGACTATATAGTGAGAGCCTGTCTCTTTACAAATTAATAAAGCAAAGACGCTTAATTCCTTTTGAACTAACTAGTTCATATCTTATATTTTCTTTTATTTTCTGTTAAAAACTATTTTTCAAAGTGAGCTCAAGGCCTGCCTGAACTCCATAGAGAGACCCTGCCTCAAAAAGACCAAAAATAAAAAAATAAAAATAAAAAAACTATTTTTAGCATAAGAAACTTTCAGTTAAAATGTTCAACCTTAAACAGTTGTCACAATAATTTCAAATGCACTTGTGTTGTATTGTGCTTAAGATTTTAGGCTGTGCTTTGCAGGAGGGGAGATAATGAAGAGGTGGATAAGGGATAAACGTGGCTGTCATCCTGTGGTCCTCACAGTAATTCAATCTGCTTGCATCTGTTTTGACAGTCCTAAATAATTAAGGATAATAATTTTACCTACCATGTAGGGGCGTTATTTGTTCTTTTTGTTTGTTGCCTTTGAGAATGGAAGAAACACACATAGGGTCAACGGGGATGAAGAAAAAAGTGTACACCCAACCTGTGCTAGCTGCTTCTCCCTTGTCAGTGGCTCGTTAGAGGACCATGATCCGAGGTAGAAAATGCAAGTTTAGGATATTCATGGGTTGTTTAAGTGGATGAGTCTACAAAGAGCCTCTAAAGACAATCAAAGAGAGGCTAGTGATTATCTCCAGTCTAAATATTGAGGATCTTTTTTTCACTAAAAGTTTACATTCCTTGTGTGCAGTTGGTACATGTACATAAGACACGTAAATTCCCTTTCTTCTCTTTCCCTCCTCGTCCCACGCCCTTCCCTCCAACTCTTGTTTTCATTTTACTAATGCTGAAATCCACACCCAGAGATGAAATGATCTACCAAGTCACAAATCAGCAAATAGTAGCAGCCGCTGCTCGGTAATAGAATCCAGACGTCTTATCTTACACCCACTGCCTGAACTGCAAGTCCATCTCCTAAGCCATCAGGCAGGTCTGTGTCGGGTGATAATGCATAAACTCCGGAGGTCAGAGCCGCTGACCTTTCCAAACTTGCCCATTCCCCATGTAATCGATAGGTTCTCCGACCTTACAAGCTTGTGACCTCAGAACAGGGGTGCGCAGCTTAATATCCAAACTACTGTTGTGAGTCCAGGGGTCTGGGAAGTCAGCTACACCACTGGGCCTGCCTCCTTCCCCGCTTCTCTCAAACTCCAGGAAGGCCAAGGAGTTCCCTGTTGTCCCCATGTGTCCTTGGGGCCTCCTGCAGGTCCCGGGAAGAGCCTTGGCAGTGTGTTCAAGTAGGCATATGTTAGTGAAATTTGCAAGCATTTGAGTTACCATCAGTTAGGACTTCAAGGATCAAGTTAAGAGGAAACTGATGGGAACCATGGAAAAGGATTGAAAATGATCAAAGGTATACATGTACCACTGCCCCACAACAAGTGCAACTAGGTTGTATTGCAAAAATCCACCACTAAAAAATAAAAAAGAGGGAAGTGAATACCAGATACGCTAGACCTTAAAAACATTTTAAGTTTGAGATAAGGTTTGGTTTTGTTGTTGTTGTTGTGATAAAATATTTTTAAGAGCTTTATTGAAATATTATTATTAACATACAAAAAAGACATACTTAGAGTATACATCCTTTTGGGTCTTTTTATTTTAAAGAGAATAAAACAGAACAACGCAAAACAATGAGAACAATATTGGATTACAAAAACAAGACAGTACAAAATCCCCAATATTGTGTATTGTTGTCCTCCAATAGATGTTCAGACTACTGGCTTTAGGCCTCAAAGTTATTCAAACAATACAAGCATTAAATTGTTTCTTTACTTCAGTTGCTGTCTTCTCTGCCTGTGACCCTCCGAATCAGCCAGTTGCTTATGGGGTGTGGAGATCTTCTTGGTTCTCAATCAGCCGATGTGACTTTGGTACCCTATTGAACCCTGCGCTTTCACACTGAGCTACATCTCCAACCCCTATTTACTTATGCATTTATTTGTTTTAATTCATTTATTTGGTCATTTTGAGACAGGGTCTCATTATGTAGTTCAGGCTAACCTGAACTCACTTTGTAGCCCAGGCTGCTCTCAAACTCACACCAGTTCTCCTGCCTCAGCCTCTTGAGTGCTGGGCTTTCAGGCATGTACCAAAATGCCTGGCACATTTGTTTCAATTTTAAAACAGTCACTAAGCCACTCCATTGTGCAGGGTGGGCTCACACATTCAACTCTCCTCCCTCAGGTTCCCACGGTTCCTGAAGTGTACAATGCAATGAATTGTAATGTATGTGTGTAGCCTAAGTTACCATCACCCAATCAAAATAATACATGTATCCAAATATTTCTTCATGCCTCTCTGCAATCCTCAAAAGTTCTTCATACCTCTGTAATTTCTCCTTCTTGCCCTTACCCCCAGCCATAGGAAACTGCTGATCTGCTTTCTGCTGGTACAAATTAGTTTGTACTTTCTAAAATGAAACAGAGCATCATGTGCATCTTTTTGTTTCCTTTCTTACTTCCTTCTTCTTTCCTTTCTTTCTCCTCTTCTTCCTCCTTTTCTTCTTCTTTTTGTTTTGTTTTGTTTTTTGAAACAAGACCTCACTTTGTAGTTCAGGCTGGCCTCAAACTACTGGTGATCTCCTGCCTCAGCCTCCTGAGTGCTGGGATTGCAGGTGTACGCCCTCATACCTGGCTTGTTTGTGTTTTTTAAAAAATAATTGTGTTACTGGTTTATCTGTGGTGATTTATTCATAGTGTATGTATCAAAAGTTCATTCATTTTTATTGCTAAATATTCAGGTTTTTTGATATGCCAATTTGTTTATCTGTTCAACTGTTGAGAGACATTTGGATTGTTTCTAATTTGGAGCCATTAAAAACAAAGCTGCTATGAACATTTGTGTACAAATACATATGTTTGCATTCTAATAGCCATATGCTTTCTTGGATAAATACTTGGAAGCAGAAAGGCTAAATCATATAATAAGTACGTATCTCATTTATAATACAATGCCAAGTCCCAAAGTGGTTGTTTATTTTATATTTTTTCTAGCAATGTGTGAAACTTCTACTTTATTCATCTCTTTGCCAGTAATTAGTATAGTTAGTCTTTTATTTTAGCCTCTTTTTTTGTACCAGGGATTGAACCCAGAACCTCACACTTGCCAAGCAGGTGCTTGCACCACTGAGCTAAACTCCCAGTCCAAAATTTAGCCATTCTAATAAATGCAGTAGAATATCATGGTTTTAATTTACATTTTCCTAATGCTATTGATTATATTTTCATGTGTTTATTTTCCATGCCTACAATTTCTCTGTGAAGTATCTGTTCAAATCTTTTGCTCATTTTTAAAATTGGGTTGGTTAATGGTAACACATACCAGTAATCTCAGCTACCAGGGAGGCTGAGGCAGGAAGATTGTACGTTTGAGACAATTTAGCACAATTTTGCCTCAAAATAAAGAAAAGGGTTGAAGATGTAGCTTAGTGGTGGAGCACTCCCCTAGAATGTGTAGGTCCTGTTTTCAATTCTAAGTATTATAGAAAAAAATGGGTTGTTTGCATTCTTTGTACTTCCTGTTGAGAGTTCTCTGTATTCGGGGCACTCCCAGGGATGGTCTTGCCCCACAAGTCACAGAAATGCAATCAGATGGCAGAATATTTCCAAAGTGGACCACTGAGTTGAACGATGATCTCCTGCCTCAGCCTCCTGAGTGCTGGGATTGCTACCAGTGGAACACCAATCCTGAATCATGCAGCCATGTGGTTCTACGGAGTCCTGGGACCAAAACAGTTGAATTCCTTCACGTGACTTCTCTTCTGGCCTGGTGAATGGAGGAGAATAGTCCAGACCTGCAAACATGAGCAAATACTTAAACAAAAATATACCTGTATGTTTTTAGGACCCCCCACTTTCAAGGACACTCCAGTCCAGATTCACAAAACAAACAAACTCTCACTCTGAAGATGTATAGTCCTGCTCCCAATTTATATCACCTAATGGAAGGTTGATTTCTTTCATATTTCGTATTTCTTTTTTTTATTTTATTTTAAAGAGAATAAAACAACAAGCAAAACAAAACAATGGGAATGATACTGGATTTCTTTCTTTTTTTTTTTTTTTTGGTACTGGGGAACTCATGACCTCATACTTGCCAGGCAGGCATTTACACCACTGAGCTAAATCTCCAGCAATATTGGATCTCAAAAACAAGACAGTAGAAAGCAACCATAGTTACTATAATGCACATTGTTATCCTTTAAATAGATGCTTAAGCCACCAGACACAGGCATGCAAAGTCAATCAAATGGCACATTAAACAATGTAAGTGCTAAGCTGTCTCTTTACTTCAGTTGTTACCATTTCAGAAATTTCAGGTGTGTGACTTCCAATTTCTTCTGTTTTGTCTCCTCCTGGACTTGTTCTGGTTGGGCTGGAGGTCTGAGATTGCACACGGCTCCTTCATCTTTACATTTTTCCGTCTTCCTTCAAATCATTTGGTTGCTGAGTCCCAGGTGTTTCCTGCATTGGCTGCTGATCCCTTAGTGCAGGGGATGAGGCCAGGCACTTGGGTTCCTCTGATCTGAGGTTCCTGGGTGGCAGAGAGGTGTGGAATGGCTGCTCAGTGATGTTCTCCTGATGGCAGTGGAACCCCAGGAGTGTGGCTTCCTCTCCTCTCGGCCTGAGGTGTGGGCTAACCAAGCTGGGGGGCAGCCTCCCTTTCTCTGGAGCACGTGGGTGGGTATAACACCTGGCTCACCAGGGGACAAATTGCTTCTTTCTAATGAATCAGTCATTACATTTCTAAAGTTCTGAAATGGCCAACAGACCATAGAAAGATACCACTTTAGGCTCCTGTTTGAAAACAACAGCTTCAGAAAACTGCCAGCCTTAGCTGGGCATGGCGGCACAGTCCTGTAATCACAGCACTTGGGAGGCTGAGGCAGGAGGATTATTGCAAGTTTGAGACCAGCCTGGGCTACAAAGTGAGCCCAAGACCAACCTGAACTACATAGTGAGACCCTGACTCAAAAAGACAAGAAAGAAAGAGAGAGACACAGAGAGAGAAACAGAGAAAGAGTAAGAAAGAGAAAAAGAAAAAGAAAGAAAGAAAGAAAGAAAGAAAGAAAGAAAGAAAGAAAGAAAGAAAGAAAAAGAAAAAAAGAAAGGACACTGCTGGCCTTGATTCAGGGGCATAGCAATAAGTGTATTTCTTTAGTTTCTCTTAACATCAAACATTTATTCACTGTATGCTAATATACATATATATAAAGACTTATTAAATATAAAATATACATTGAGGTTATAATTACTATATGATATAATATATAGATATAGATATAGATACAGATATGTTCCTCAACTCTCTCTCTCTCTCTCTCTCTCTCTCTCTCTCTCTCTTTGTGCTGGGAATCAAACCTAGGATCTTGTACATGCAAGGCAGGAGCAGCCTATTTCTAGCCCACCCAACTCTCCTTTTAAAAGCCTTTAGATTGTTTGATCCCCAATTCCAAAACAAACAAACGAACAAACAAAACACAACAGCCTTCAGTTGAAGGAAGGCTTGCAAGAGGGGACTTGGAGAACTCTGGATTAATGAGCTAACATTCTAAACCTTGATTTTAAGCCCAACATCAGACCATTTCCAAGCACCAATGCACTCACAGGGCAATGAGGGATCAGCTCTAAACAACCAAGAAATGGTGGCCGCTTGCTCTTCTCCTTCAAAACTTCTCCTGCTATTACCTTTAGTTGTACAAAACCAAAGAAGGGTATTACAGAGAGGCACACAAGAGGAAAATTCATGGAAATCAGAGCTAATGTGATACAAAGGACTCTAAATTAAAAGAGATGGGTAGAAGGTTACAGAGCAGCCTGGGAGGTCAGGGAAGTCACAGTTCTTAGAATCACCTGATATACTGGCCGGGTGTGGTGTTGCCCGTAATCCCAGCATTTGGGAGGTTGAGGCAGGAAGAGGGCACTATAAATTCAAAACCAGCCTGAACTACATAGCAAGACGCTGTGTCAATTAAAAAAGAAACTAAATGAAAAACAAGAATCAACTGATATGAATGTTAGTTATATCTTGTAGTCCTGGCAATATGAAATTTTTTTTTTTTTTGTCTTTTTTGAGATGGGGTATCGCTATGCAATTCAGGCTGGCCTTGAGCTCACTTTGTAGCTCAGGCTGGTCTCGAACTCACAATGATCCCCCCACCTCAGCCTCCGAGTGCTGGGATTACAGGCGTGAGCCACCACGCCCGGCACTATGAAAATACTTTCTAAACTTTTCCTATCTTTTCTGCCTTAACATCCTGTTTGTTTATGCTACTTTTCTGCTCAGGTTAGAAAAAATTTAAGGCATTTTCCACCAGATTTTATAGCAGAATTTTGCAAAAAGTTTGGACACCAGAACCAAGTCACTCAAAAGTCATAGTTATTTGGGAACATTTGTTACAGTATTACTATAGCCTGGATATGGTTTAGTGTGTTCCCCCAAAGATTAGCAGACCTGAAACATGATTGGAACACCATGGTGATGAGAGGCGAGAGCTTTTCAGAGACAGGGCCGAGGGGAAGCTGATCAGAACACAGGAGCATCACCCTCAGATAAGATGCACATATGTAGTTCTTGAAGTACAAGCAGCTCTTGCAAGAGTGAGTTGTTACAAACTGAGGGTGTCCCAGGTACTCTGCACCTTCAGGACGCCTAACCCTCCCACCTCTTCGCCAAGTCGTAACAGCTGTGCAGGCCCTTCCCAGATGCTAGCACCTTATCTTTTGGGCTTTTCAACCACCAAATAAATCTCTCTTCTTTATAAAATATCCAGCCTCAGCTATTTTGTCAAAGTGGATCAAAACAAGGACCAAAATTTATAACATCCCTAAAAGCTCCTGAGTGCTTATCGTATCAGTACAGCATTAGTACCAGCATCATCTTCTTCACTAAGTATTTCTCCGTTTTTTAGTATCAACCATGTACCGGACCCCAGACTATGCACTGTATACATTATTTTTTTCAACTCATAACTGCCCTATGTGTTAACTATTATTCCTTTATCAAAGATTGAAAAATCGAGGCACAGAGAAATTAATTTGTTCAAACTCAGAAATTAAAATGGTGGAGTTAAAAATCTGTTTGATTCCTTTAAGCTCAGAGTCATGCTCATAATTACCTTACCGTATTCATTCCATTTAGTAATTGATACTCACAGAAGCAGGTTTACCACAAAGCTGGTGAGACTTAAGCATCAAACTCTTGACTTGTCCAACGCCCTTCCAAAGCCTAGGAGTAGAATTTCCTAATAATGTGTTCACTTGGTCTTGAGTCTCTGTAAAATAGGCAGTCAGTTAAGATTCTTCATTCCAAGACCTGCCTGGCAAGCACAAAGCATGAGTTCAATCCTGGTACCAAAAAAAAAAAAAAAAAAAAAAAAAAAAAAGATTCTTCATTCTTATACCATAAGTATCTGCTCATCAAGTACCATTACAGTAAGGACATTTGGGAGATCATGCTGAGTTGGGGATTGGGAATACCTTTAAGCTGGAGTTTGTGTGATATTTTATGTTCTCTATAATCACTTTTATGTACAGTGAAGCTATTAACACCTGTGTTGTGAAAGCAGAGCTTTTAGTAACACTCTCATCTCTCACTGTACCAACTCAAAGAGAGTTAAGAGATAAAGAGAAGCTGGGGAAATAGAGAGCTCCCTTCCCTGTCCTCATCATGATCCAGGAAGGCTTATATTTCTAATTTCATGGAGCAGCTATTGGAATTGTAGTGACTTAATTCCAATCTACCACTTCCAAGGTGAGAATAAAGACCCCATGCACAGTGAGGGGGAGCCACGGGGGGCTACATCCAGCCAAGACGGCGTTCACTAGAACAAGGCCATGACCCAGGCGCTAGCCCAGGTTTATTAATTCTCCACGAGGGCAGTGGCTCAGGGATATCAGGGAGACAGGGAGAGTGGCAGAAACTATGTGGCTGCTGTGACCGAGCTGGGCTAGGGAGGAGGCCTGAGATCACCTCTGTGATGAGCAGAGGGCAAGAAATGCAGAGAGAGCAATCTGCATAACACACCTGAGGCAGTGTTTAATAATTTGGGAGTCAATGCTTCAGCTCTGATGCCCAATTCTTTCTGCCCTGGGAAGTCATAGCTTCTTTCTTGAGGCTCGGTCCCAGCCGACAGCATAGAGCATGGCTCTCCATCCCACCAGGCTCAACCACGTATCTGGGGAAACACTGACCTGTCACTTTGCTTCAGAAATTACACATCAGCTCTTCTGATAACCCACTTTACATTGCTAAAAATCAATTGAAGGGACAAAGAAATAGCCTCACCATCTCTGTACATATCAATACGTGGAGATAGGGCCGAGTTTATCCAAAATGCATTTGGGACATTTTAAGTTAAACTTGTATAAAATTCATCAATTTTTTCCTTTTTTGTTTTTTTTGAAACAGCCTTGCTATGTAGGGCAAGTTGATTTTTTTTTTTTTTTTTCAGTACTGGTGATCGAACTCACAACCATGGACTTACAAGGCAGGCACTTATGCTGCTAAGCTAAATCCCCAGCCCCCAGGTTAATACTGAACTCACTGTGCAGCCCAGACTGGCCTCAGACTCACATGATCCTCCTCCTGCCTCAGCCCTCTGATGAGGTTACAGGCATGCGCCACCATACCTGGCAAAATTCATCAAATTTAAATGAAAACAGGCTTTATATCATTTGAATTAATTCATTAGATTATCATGAAGTACAATAAGGTTTCTAAATATCTTAGATTTTTATGAAATGGTTTACACAGAAGAGCATATTTTTCTGGGTTATGTGCTTTTTCATTCATTTTCTATTTTTTTGGTACCAGAGATCGAACTCACGACTTCACGCTTGCCAGGCAGGTGCCGTGCCACTGAGCAGTATCCCCAGCAAGAGTAGGTTGTTACAAACTGAGGCCTGTAATGTGCTATGTGAAGCAGCTTGCTTCGTAAGTGACAGCTAGTGAAGCATGAACGTAACGGAGATGAACCCTAGCACATGTTATATGTTATATGCGATATGTTTATAAAATCTGTCCTGAGTCATTGGATGAGCAGGGGAGCCAGATCTCTACCTGCCTGGCACTACTTACTGAGGTGTTTGCCTAGTGAATGAACAAATGAACATCAAACGTATATATCAGTTTCTAGATGAAGACCCGTTGGTTCAGACAGGCTGGTGATCGACCTCACAACCATCAGTGACTTCATGTTGGCTGACCTGGGTCAGATAAATAAGACTCCCCATGATGCTTTGGACTAAGTATTATCTAGAGAAATCTTTTGTGCACCTTTTCACAATGTAAAATGTTATGATTATGTTGTTAGCATTATTTTTACTATGGATCGTGATAAAAATTTTTAAAACCTGAAGCTGGTGACAAAGTGCTCAGCACAAATGAGTGTCTAACTTAAGTGAGTGTAATATGTGATGTGATTGGTTGGAAGGAAAGGGAATAGAGGATGGCCACCATGCTGGCCTTGGATAAACCTCAGGCAGTGAGGCCAGAGCCTGAGGGCTGGAGGCCACCAAGGCTGGGCTGGAGGCCCAGGATGCTGAAAGCCCGTTCCGTAGGCAGAGATTCAGCCTGATCCGGGGCCTGTGATGGAGCCAGCAGCAGGTGACGTGGACAGGCTTGCAAGGGGGAAGGAAGGAGGGAAGAGCTCACTGGGGGAAAATGGAGGCGTGACTTAACTTCCAGTGAGCCGCACGGCAGCTGCAGTTGGCTCCCTTTAGTGTTTTGAAGGAGACACTTGAGGGCATGTGTATAGAGCCCGCTGTAAGTGGGTGTAAAAATGCTGGGGAAACTGGACCTGGGAATCTAGGGAGCAGCGGGGGATCCCATAAAGCAGGGGGTGAGGCACCAGAGATGGGAGAGTGCGGTTAGGAAATCTCCATTACCTGCTTTTCCTCAGACTACTAGGTCTGCAAAATTTCTCAGGTATACAATTATAGTGCTACAGTGCTATATCAAATAACATTCAAGAAGAAGGACTATAAAAGTGCTATTTTTGCATCCCTTTTAACACTTTTTGTGTTGAATCTTCCATTTCTTTCTTTTCTTTGTTTTTGAGACATGGTTTCACTATACAGTTCAGGCTGAACTTGAACTCATTTTGTAACCCGCACTGGCCTCAAACTGGCAGTGATCCTCCTGCCTCAGCCTCCTGAGAGTCAGGATTATAGCCATGTGCCACTGCGACTGGCATTTTTTTATTTTACATTTTTAAAACAGGGTCTTGCTAAATCACTAAATTTCTCAGACTGGACTTGACTTGTTTTTTGTTGTTGTTGGGTTTTTTTTGGTACTGGGGATTGAACTCACTACATGCTTGCAAAGCAGGTGCTTATGCCACGGAGCTAAATCCCCAGCCCTGGATTTGAACTTGTGATCCTCCTGCTTCATCCTCTCAGAGTGCTGGAATTACAGGCATTGTGCTACCATACCTGGATCTATTCCTTTATTTCTTACTTTTTCTTTGACATTTGGTTTGCATGCCTCTTGTAAACAGAATATATAAGGTTTTTTAAAAATTTAACTGGAAGTGTATGAAATGTGTTTTGTTTTGCTTTGGCTTGTTGACACAGGTCCTTGCTACATAGTTCTGGCTAGACTTGAACTCGCTAGGTACCCCAGGCTGACCTCAAACTCTAGTGGTCCACCCGCCTTAGCCTCTGAGA